CGCTGATGAATGATGATTCTAGAATAAAAATAACAATACTCTTGTGTCTCTATTGCTTTATAAATTAAATTATGCACTGGTTATATAAAAGATCTAACTTACTTGGGTCTCGAAAAAATCACTCTGAGGGCTAATTATTTTGGGCTATTTCTTGTGAAAACCAGATCTAAAAGGCAAATATTGTCTTCCATTTACCTTTTATGGAACGTTTTCTAAACTCTGTATAGAATGCGGATAGCCATCCTACACGATGTGAAGTTTCATCTTGAGCATATTTATTGCATTTGTCTCTTTGTTGTAAGTCTTAAATATTCTCAGGTTAGAACGTATGGAAAAAACTGCAAACTAAGTTTTGACAGGAAAAAAACAATATCTATGAAAAAAAATTAGAAAAACAATAGGAAAGAAAATTTCTTAGTGGTCTGTACCCCATCTTCCTTGTATTTTTTGAAATTTCATTTATTTTGATTTTTTGGCCTTTTCCTGTTTTTTTTGGTATAAAAGCATAGAATTTGATGTCTTATAGTTTATGGGCACAGGGATTTTTGGTTTCGTTGAATATTTGTGCTGATTCTTTGATTTGATGTACCAAAAATAGTATTCTGATAGAAAATTCAGCCTGAATATTTCACCGCAAAACTCGATAATACCCTCCCTCAAAAAGTGAATTAAATACTCTACATTGATAATCTATCAGAGCAACATGTCTCGGGGGCAGCTTGGGATGGCAAAAAAAGTATTTGTTTAATACCTTTCAATTTCAAAGAAAGAGGACCTTGGTTTCTCTTAGATCGCTAGAAATTCATTTGGCTTTTTTATTCGCTGCCACTTTTTTACAACAATACCCTACATCGATAATTTTTCACGGAACCATATCTACAAAGGCGGGATTCTGAATAGGGTTTGTGGCTATATGCATGACGCCTCATTGCTGAGTCGTAAAGATTTTAAGTTCTGTATACAATGGGATTTTTTGGTTGCTTGAAATGGTGGCAGTTAAATACATTGTTACGTAAATTATCTATTACTAGAAACATTTTCCCTTTCTGTTTGTACCTACTTGTTCTATAATCGCATTGCTACTGGCTACAATGGTTCCTGTCCTAAGGCCGGTAAGTTTAATCAATGACAATATTCTTAACTCTTTAAACGAATTTCAATAGCAAGCTGTCGTTTTGAACTTTTTATGTTTCAATATGGTAATCTATTAGACCTTCATACAAACAAGAATCAAGATCGCATGAAGCAAATTCTTAGCGCGGAGGCAGTAGTGGAACAAAGATAAGGGTTTTAAAATCCAAATTAACGCTCAAAACATTTTAAAATTACTGCAAAGAATATCTAAAGTTTCTCTTTACAAATTTTGCGGAGATGAAAAAGTTAAATAGCCTTCAAAATTGTTTGATGGGCTGGGAAATCATAGAACCGCTTGAATTTTTTGCAAAAACCGTCAACCCGTGCAGTAATTTTCTTTTAAATCGTATAACCGCGTGCAAAATTAGCTAAAAGCGAAAAAATGCTATTTTTAACTAAATATCAATGCAATAACGCCTTAAACATCATTATAGATAAGTTTAATGTCTGGATTTTTTTTCATACATGCAAGTTGTAAGGTTTTGGATGTGAAACCCGAAAAACATAACTGGAATTGAGTGAAAACCGAAAGCAATGGGGATTTCAGATGGCTCGCTCCTTCGATAATTCATTTCAATTCAATTTGATCCAATATTCGTTAAATGTAATCAAAATAGAGTTACGGTTGCCTAAAAAAGCAACTTGTTGTTTTAGTCTGACTTTCCATCAATATCTACCTTTGGTACCAGAGCCAGAAAATCTTGAGCGGATAAATTCGGCTAAATGAGATCGCGCTTCATTGGTCAACACACACGTGCCTAGATACGCTGGTGGCAACAAGACGAACCAGATTGAATTTCAACAAGATACTGTTGTTGTAAACATTCGAGATAAGTTTGTGTCGATATTTACAAGACCTTTTCATACATAGCCTATCAATAAAAGGGAAAAATATTGTGTCTAGTGATCCTTGTACTGTTTTATAAAAAGTTTTATGAAAAGGTTTTAAAAAAATATTTTTGCACAATACAATTTACCTATGTAAAATATTTTCGCAATTTACAATAGTGCTTTCATTGTGCAGACGAGAAGGGTCTTTGAGATGTATCTAGACAGGAATTGTCTAGTTTCCATACTGCTCGACCTCTATAAAAAACTAAAGTCCAATAGGGTTTCAATGGCACTCCTTAATTGTGTTGATGTAGGCTTTTCCAAACATTGATCTCCATTTGCATCATTGCCATCCTCTTCATCGTCCTCTACTTTGATTGGCTCCTCTACTTCACGTACCATTGCAAAGGATTGACTCGTTAGATAACATAGGCTCTGTTGCGGCAACGGTATCATCAAAACTTGCAAATTCTTCCGGTGAAACCTCTTTAGGATTTTGCAGTTCTCAGCCATTTGTAAACCGCAGAGTCCAACTCCTCGTATGTCGCAGTCTTCATTATTTTACTCATTTTAGAAGCATTCTTTCCTTCAACTGCTTTCCTTTTACCCAGTGCGAAACTGTGTTTTTAGCAACACCATATTTCTTTGCTGTAGCTATACAGCTTAGGCCTGCATCAATTTCGCCTCGTATTTGTTGACTATAGTTTAACAGGCAAGCCTTCATTTCGAAGACTGCACAGCTGCCATTATTCTAAATGTGACTGCTGATCTAGCAATCGAATGTTCGCAAGAATATTCGAATAAAGAATGTATTGTTTCTTAAGATGATTTTTTGGAAAAGATTTTTTTTTGCAAATCCAAGGAACCGGAGAAATTGGTCCCACTAAATGAAAGTTCCACTTATCCGGGGCTCCACTTATCGCGAGCAGAATGTACTTCATTTTGGGATAGTGCATGTAACAGATTGCCGAGCCCCAGACTCTCAGTTTTAGTTTAGAGCCTGGAACTCAGGCTACTAACAGAAAGTCTGTTGATTTTCCATTTCCATCGTATTTGGCTTGTCGAAATTCTAACCCTCCATCATCACTGTTGAAATCGAATTCTTCAACATCGTTTGAATTCTCGTCTGCGTCATTCGCTTCTTA